CGTCCCGGCAGTGCCTACATCTACAGCTATATGATCATGGGTGAGTTTGTCGCCTTCACCGTCGGCTGGAGCATGATACTGGAGTATATGACGAGCACGGCGTCTGCGGCACACAGCCTCTCTGCCTATCTGGATGCCCTATTGGATCAGAGGCTATCGCGGGCATTCCAAAGTGCATTCACTATGAATAGCAGGTACACGTTAAGCTATCCGGATTTTCTGGCCCTGGGTCTGATCCTGTTGTCTGCATGTGTGATTGCCTTCGGCATCAAAAAGTCGTTCTGGCTGAATCTGAGCTTCATTGCCATCAATCTGATAACCATTTCCCTAGTCATTATCAATGGCGCCACAAAATGTATATACACCAAGTCTTAGCTAAACATTCAACTCAGTCGACTTCCTTCATTAGCCAAAATACAAAACTGGTCTCTCAAATCCAAGGACGTGGAGGAGGACATAGGTGCCGGCGGCTACTTTCCATATTCCATTGCAAAGATGTTCAAGGGCGTTGCGCTTTGCTTTTTCGGGTTCGTTGGATTCGATTGCATCACATCGACGGCCGGCGAGGCCATCAATCCCACTCATAACATACCCATGGCCATTTTTGCCACGATGCTAATGGTATTCTGTACCTACTTTCTGATGAGCACCATACTGACTCTAATGGTACCCTATTATCTCATCGATCCGATAACCCCGTGGACATCCGCCTTTCGATACCATAAAATGCACCATGTGCATACGTGCGTCACAGTTGGCTCTGTGTTGGCATTGTGTGCATCCCTGCTGAACTCCATGTTCCCGCTGCAGCGCATCCTTCGTGCCATGGCCCAAGATGGTTTCATGCTCAAGGGCTATGCCAGCGTGAAAGGCTGGACAAAGTCATCTATGTTGGCCACCTTCTTCTTGACCATCATTGCGGGTAAGTTGATTGGACTTTCTATAATTATATTTATAATACAATTATATTTGTGATCCCCTAGCCGTTGGTACGCTGGTCCTCCATTTCACCTTCATGATACAGCTCTCCATTATTGGCGTCTTGCTGGACTATACCATCGTGGCCATTGGCGTTGTTATGCTGCATTACAAGAACGATCGCAAGAAGGAGGATGAGGCCGTGGAGGAAATCAGCTTCAAAGTGGTGATGCGTCAGATTTGCAGTGGACGACATGGSAAGAAAGCGAATACAGTGTCTAACTACAYTACRCGTTTATTTYTAATCATTTTTATCGTCGTCTCTGTGCTCTTCTGCTTGGCCTTCAAGTGCTTTACCATCACTCATCAGCTGTGGGCCATTGTGCTGGCCACCTGTTTCGCCGTGTTGAACATCGTCTGCGTTATCATAATTGGCATGCAGCCACAGTCAAGCGCCTTGCCGCCATTCAAAACGCCTCTTGTGCCGCTCATACCCTGCGTCAGCATTTGGATGAATATTTTTCTGGTATCCACATTGTCGTGGCTGTGCCTTGTGGTTTATTTGATCTGGATGATTGTCGGCTATGTCGTATATTTCGGTGTAATTACCGCAGATTTTTTAGGGAAAAGGATCACCAGCAAAATGGCTAAGCAGATGATTGACAGCTTTAAATTTCTG